ATCCGAACCCTCGGCAGGAGCGCCGCCGCGCTCCCAGTGCGCCACCGGGCTGGCCCCTGATTCACTTCTTGTGACTCATTTGTTTGATGGACTATCAGGGCCTTTAACATGGTAGGAGAAATACGACCTTTGAGGTTAGAGACTCCCCTCACTGTGTGGCTGGGCTCGAGTTACTTAAGTTTTCTACGCCTGTCCTGTTCATCTGTAAAATCAGGGTCATATATATATATATATATATATATATATTTTTTTTTTTTGGCAGCTGGCTGGTACAGGGATCTGAACCGTTGACCTTGGTGTTAGTGTTACCAGGCTGTGCTCTAACCGACTGAGCTAACCGGCCAGCCCCATATATAATTTCTTGAGCTGCTTTGGGATTTAAATAAAATAAATAAATTCCACTTTAAACATTACTTTTTGATTTAATAGTTAAAATAAACAGTATTCGGTTCTAACATTGAATTTTTGAGAGTTTAATTCATGAATCTGGTATGTACTGGGTTTTGATTTCACAAACACTGAATGTTAATATGTGCAAAGTGCTACATTAAACATTGGGGATTATAAATATGAATGGTTTGATTTCTGTCCTCAAAGGAATCACAGATTAATGGAACAAGCAGACAAGGAGACGATCAATTAAGTCCCCAGCAGGGCAGGGATGAGGGCTGTGAGCTGGCCGGTCAGCTCACTCGGTTAGAGCATGGTCATGATAACATCAGGATCAAGGGTTCATATCCCCATGCGGGCCAGCCACCAGGAAAAGGAAAAATAAAAAGGACTGGGATAACACGATAAGGTGAGAGGTCAGTTTTGATCAGGTCCGACCTTGAGAAGAGTAAATCTTGAAGAATAGAAAGCATTTCAACTGAAGCAGAGGCTGCCAAGCACAGGGAAGGGGGAGTGCAGGACTGGGAGCACTAAAGACTGTGCACCAGGACGTGAGGAAACGAGGAGGCAGATCTTAGTGCTGGTGAGCAGGGGCCCTGGGAGCTGGTATGTGTGAGAGGTCAGGAGACAGTGTCAGGACTGGGTGGCCAAGGCCTCGAGTGACCTGCTAAGGAGTCTGGACCTTACTGTAAGGGCATTAGGAAGGATCTGGACACATGGCTCCCAATTGTATGTTCATAATTTCAGGAAGAAAGGGAGTGAGCATGATCTCTTTACAGGTGAAGAAATTGGGACAAGGAGATATTAGAGCAAATTCACTGAGCTCTGTGCCTTCCAGTTACTGTGGATGCTGTAATTCAGTATGAAAGTGAACCACACAAAAAGTCTGAGGGAAAAGAGAGGAGAAAACAACCCAAATTGGCATCTCTGCCTGCTGGATCTGGTGTTCAAGGTCATCTTATCGCGATGACCTACATACAAGAGTGTCCCTACATGCAAGAATGGGGCGGGGGGTGCGCAACCACCACACCCCCAGCCCAGTGCTTGGAGGGGACCGTTCTACCAAGAGTGGTCAGAACGTCATGAGGCCAGAGACAGTTTCCTTGGTCTATGGTTCCGGTGATCTGATGGGAACATCTAGAGGAATAAAGTGTCTCTGGAAGGGGATGATGGCTAAAGAGAGACGAGAGACGGGGCTCAGCGGAACAGAGGGTGACGGAGTATGTCCATCACGTGGGGGGGCAGAGGTGGGGGAGAGAACGGGAGGGGCGGAGGCAGGGGAGAGGGCCAGCTTTACCTGATGCAAAAGTTAATTTAAGTGCATAGAGGAAAGACTGCATATAAAAAGAACACATGATTAGACATCTGAACCCAAGGGTTCTGTGTCGTGGATTCAACAAACCTGGATAGAAAATATTTGGAAAAAAATCTGCATCTATACTGAACATGCACAGGCTTTTTTTCTTGTCATATTTCCTAAACAATACAGCATAGCAGCTATTTACATAGTATTTACATTGTATTAGGTATTAGAAGTGGTCTAGAGATGTATTTAAAGTATATGGAAGGCATGGTGCTGATAATGCCAAGGTCAAGGGATCAGATCCCTGTCCAGCCAGCTGCCTAAATAAAAAAAGTATACGGAAGAATGTACAGTACGTTTTATGCAAATATTATATAAGGGACTTGAGCATCCTCAGATTTTGGTATCTGCAGGAGGTCCTGGAACCAGATTTTGGTATCTGCATTGAGCATCCTCAGATTTTGGTATCTGCAGGAGGTCCTGGAACCAATGCCCCATGGATACCTAGGGCCGACTGTATATCCTGCCCCCCTCCAAAAAAAAGATTAGAAAAACTCTAAAATTCAATTAGTATATATTTTTGGAAGATGAGGCCAAGGGTGATAATATTATGTGAAAAAATGTTTTAGTACTTTCCAGATTTTCTATATAGGGCAAATATTACATTTATAACCGAGAATATTTTTTTTCCTTTCAAAAAAGGCTTCTTTTTAAAAACAGTCTTTGAAGTCTACTCAGATGTCATTGCAAGCTCAGATAGGACAGTGTGGGCCGGCACATGGGGAGACTCATTGACTGGTAGTTTTAAAAATTCTTTATTATTATTATTTTTGTGGCTGGCTAGTATAGGGATCGAACCCTGGACCTTGGTGTTAATCAGCACCATGCTCTAACCAATGATGAAATTATTATTAATATCATTGTCTTGCTAATAATTCCTCACAGCTTGGGTGGACTCTTTCTAGACGGCTATTCAGTAGAGCTTTCTGCAACGATGGCAATGTTCTGCAGCTGTGCTGTTCAGTATGGTGGCAGCCAGCCACATGTGCTTATGGATCTTTTGAAATGTAGCTAATGCAACCCAGCGGGACTGGTGGCCAGGGCAACCAGCACTGGTGCCACCCAGCTGTGACCCACGCCTTCCATCTTAGACTTGCTGGGATCTTACCAAGATTGCAAACCGTCTGCCGTCCTACCTCTTTCATCCCCTACTTTGGTTCTCTCTATGGTCTGGCCGACTTGTATCTCCTGGTTTCTCCTGAATATGTTTAGTAAGTTACTCGTGTTTCTTACAGTAACTGATAAACTTTTCCCCTGCACATAAGTTCCCGTTCTGAATTCTACCCCCGCCCCCGTCCCTACTGTCCCCGTAACAAGTGCCACTTGTGAACAGGGAAGGCTGTTTACGTGCTCATCCACTTGGGCTGCTTTGCTTTGCTCTTTAACTTGCCTTTTATTTGCACTCACCAAAGAGAAACATGACACTGTCACAGTCACATTTTCCACACTCCATAGAAATGGTTTATGTTGTGTGTGTGTGTATTAGTAGCAATAATAGTAAAAAAAGTGATGTTTACTGTATGATTTGGGTACTTTTCTGTGCACATTCTACATATTATCTCATTTAACCCTCCCAAGAACTCAATGAAATAGGCCTGTTACCATCCCTAGTTCACAGGAGGCAAGTGAGGCACAGAGACAGTAAGCCATTTGCCAAAGGTCACACAAGCCTGGCAGTGGAGCCAGTTTGCCTGTGTTTATTATCTCTCGTATATCACTATTATATTTAAATTATTACTCTGTATCTATTTTATAGTTCCCTTGGCCTGTCTTATAAACTCAAATGTTGCAAGCTTAATTTTGACGGTTCAAGTTTTGAACCATTGCAAACTCAATCTGCACCCCCAAAACAAAGAGAAGTGTACCCCCGGAGTGCTAGAACAGACCTGACGATGCTTTAGTGACGCAGTCCTTCAGGGCAGAAGAAAGGAAAGAGAGTGGGGGGGAAGCGGAGCTGGGGTGAGCCCAGTCCGCTGAAAGCATAGACCACAGTGTTTGTTGGTCTTTGGCCAGTTCCATTCGTTCCTGACCTTTGGACACCCTCAGTGCATGGGCCTGAGTGCCTCACCCCCCTGTCCTGCCCCCGCGGTCTCTCCTGAGTGACAGCTAATCACACCAGCGAATCCACAGCCTGGAACTCTGGAGTGCCTCAGCCCCCTGTCCTGCCCCTGCGGTCTCTCCTGAGTGACAGCTAATCACACCAGCGAATCCACAGCCTGGAACTCTGGTTTGAGAGACTCTACAAAACGGCCTCAGGGCCCTGTGTCCAGGAGAGTGCTGTTCACTCATTCACTCAGAAACACACCAGGAATGTTTTCTGACCTTTACTGTGTGTCAGGCCCTGGGGATACAATGATTAACACAACAGCCCTAATCCCGGCTGCTTTGGGGGTAAAGTCTAGCCACAGAGACAAATATTAATCAAATTCGCACACCATCAATTGTCAAGTTGCAACTGGGACAAGGGCCACATGAATACGGAGCAATGAGAGTTCATGGTGGAGGTTTTACTGAAGTCAGTCAGGGAGGGCTTCCTGAGGAAGCGGCATGGAGCTGACATCTGGAGGGTTAGCAGGGTTAAGTCGGGGCAGAGGGGGAGGAACCGCATTCCAGGCAAGCAGCAGGAACAGCAGGTAGGAAGGCCCGTGGGGAGGATCGTAGCAATAGAAGGGACTGAGAGGGGCCAGAGTGGCTCCCATGGAGACGGGGAGGGGCGCATGGCACCTGAGGAGGCTGGAGCTGGGCATACAGGCCAGACCACACATGTTTAGGAGTTTGTGTATTTGACCCTGAGGTCAGTGGGGAGCCTCTAAAAAGGTCTTAGACAGGAGGGACATGGCCAGATTTGAGTTTGCAAAGATCACTCTGGCTTTGGGGTGGATTCCAGGGTATGGCGATGGTGGGAGGCTGATAGGACCTGGGAAAAGATGATGGACTCCCCCACATGTGAGGGATTCCCCACATATCCCTCTCAGGGATTACATCCTGCAGATTAAAATCCTGCCACAAGATGTTTTGGTAGATCCTGCCCAAGCTGGGTGGAGGGTGGCACTGCTCCTGGCGCTGAGCCAGGGAGTTCAGAGCCAGAGCTAACATAAGCAGAGGGCCTCCTGTGTGCCTGGCTCTTTGGACACCAGCACATGGGCTATCTCATGACTCAGGAACTCTACTACAGTGAGCGCCGCAGAGATCTAAACCTGTGTCACCAGGTGGAATAGGCATGTTAGGCGCAGGCAGCGAATGTTACCTGGTCACTCAGCGGGATCCCCTTTCCCATCTTCATACGATTTTCCTCCGGGTGATAGTCATCTGCATCGTAGAATTTCCATCCCAGCTTTAAGAACAAAGTGAAAGGGTGCATGTGGCGGGCAGTGCGGCCCGTGTGACAGCTGCTGTGGGGTTACTAGAGGGCAGATGTAGAAACAATACTGCCACCCCGTTCCCCACCATCAGCCCTGGGGACAGGCCCCTACAGACCCAGGAGGGAAGAGCCCTGTAATGCCACTTCACAGTCCCACACCACTGGGCTTCTGCAGCCCCTTTTTTCCTTCATCACTACTTGTAATCAACAAGGAGAAAAACGAAATTGCTCCAGTGGGTTTCAAAGCCATGTGGAGGGGTCTGTGCAAACCACTGAAGGCCAGAAGAAAGGGAGGGAAGCAGTGAGAAAGGACAGAATGGGACATGCAATCAGGAGGCATTAAAACACGTTACCTCAGATGCCAGCAGGGCGCCCACAGTCGATCTGCGGAGAGGACACAGATGCTCCAGTTACCGCCCTTGCTCTGCAAGGATGCCTGGGGGACAGATGGCTGCCCCAGTGGCATTAAAACATCAATCACTGTGTGATCCTAAAGCAGTGATGCCCTTGACCCTGGAGTCCAGAGACTGGTCTTAGCTGTTCTCCAGGAAGGTCAGTGAAGAAATACTTAGCCAGTTACCATGATTTCTTTTTCAAAAGGCAATATGTAAAGACCTCATTAAACTCCTGAAGTTTTTTCCTTCAGTAATCAGTTTTCTGGTCCCTGTTGCACAGATGTTTATTTTTTGAGAGAAATACTAGATAAAGTGATAAAACTCTGTTGAGGATACTGGAGGGAGGGTTTTGATGGGGGATGTAATCTCTGGCAGCGCCCGTGCAAAGTTCAGGGGGTGCATAAAAGCATAAATGCATTGTTTGGGATTTAAAAGAAATACACTCTTAAAACGAAGCATGTGGGTCAATGACTAAAGAGTTACCAGCACTTGTTAAGGCTGGGAGCTGAATGTTCTCTGTGCAAGACATCTGATGACAATCTGTGCATATCCTGGCAGGCCGCACACACTAGTGAAAAGGGCTCAGGCTCAGAACCAGAGATTCGGGCCAGTCACCATTCTACCACTAAATGAATGTGTGCCCCTGGGCAAATTGCCTGTCCCTCTAAACCTCAGTTTTCTCACCTGCAAAACAAGGGACCTGAGCTGCATGATCTCCCATTCACCCGCATTTCACACAGCCAGTATTTATTGAGTCCTCGCTAGTTCTCGGGATAGAATGGTGAGCCCACTGAGACACGGCCTGGCCATGCTGAGGCGCACAGTCCGGCGCCACAGGACGGGGTGGAGGCCAGCAGACAGTGCGCTCCACGTGCTTTCCTGCTCCCACTTCTAAAGTTGTGCCAAATGCCAATCACTTAAACTCCACCTTCCTAATTTCTACGCTATACTCATACCGTTTCATCATGCCCTCTCAAGTTTTGCATACCACCTCTACAAGCATTTACTTGATATTTTTATTTAACTGCCTCACTTTTAATTATTAAATAAGTGTGTTAAAGAAGGAAACTCTCTTTCCTTCCCTTATACAGGAAGCTATCATCACTTGCCTTAAATAGGTAACCAAAAAGATGTAGACAATGAAAACAAAACAAACCATGTGATTAAATTCAGGCTGGATACTGTTACCTAACAAGGGTCCTGTCTCTCTTTTGCTAAAAAGGTATCAGAGAGTGAAAGACACACTTGTACCAAACTGAGACCTGCTCCTTGATGTGACAAGGGTTGAAAGAGCACTGAAACCTTTCCCATTATGTTCGCTTTATTGAAGGATGCACTGGGTCGCATATACCAGCCTACAGGTGATTAGACATCCCAGCTGAATTCCATGCTCGTGAAGCCTGAGCTGTGTGTAACAGAAATCACACTTAAGACCTAGTCAGACTAGCCATGAGTGAACATGTCAGCCACCACTTAAAATGTAAAAGAAGAGCTGAATAGATCTGGGTGTAGACTGGCAGGAAGGAGGCAGAAGGAAAAGGAAAAGCCACTGTCCGTTGTTCTATACCAGTGCTCTAAATCAGAGAACTCCTGGACTCTTGAATACGCACCAAGGACCCTGGCAGAAATAAGGCACAGTGCTTGGCTCACAAGAGACTGGTTGGGCCCAGGCATTATAAATCAAAGTTTGGAGCGAACATGTCTCCCGATGGGTTGGTCTAAATCAGGAGCAAGGGACTTAAAAAGGCAGTAGGTCAGTTGGGGGCAGGGAAGGGATGCCAAATAAATGAGAAAGATACTCAAAAGGTCTGAGCTTACCCCTCAGTGACAGAAGAAAACCTGGAAAAAGATGCCGAGGGTGGCTTCACTAAGGTGGTGAAAATATAAGGAAAACTAGCACTGCCACCCACTAAAAGAGCTGCCATGTTTCATTCATCCATCAAGTCAACTGATATTTATTGAGCACCTACTATGTGTGTTCTAGACACATATATCAGTAAACAAGAGAGAAAAAGTGAGGGGGGAGACAGTAAACAAACTTAGTACTTGAAGTTTTTCTGTTTTGAGACTATTATTCTCTCATGCCACTAGGCCTATGACAAATTCTTTTCCAAATGTTATGGAGTATAATTAAAAATTCTGCAGGATCCCCCAGAAAGCACCAAAGAACTCAGTGTTGCTACATCCATTGATTAGTAAATCAATTCTCAGTCTTTCCAGTACTCAGCATCTCCGTGACCTTTAACCCTAGGAGGGCCCTGGGCTGTCTTTGGCTTCTTTATCTCCCCCCATTCCTTTGGGGATTTCGACATCTTACATCTTTAAATACATCCACACGCCAGTGACTCCCACATTCACATCTGGTCCCTCTCCTCTGAACTCTGGACTTGGAGATCCAAACACCCCCTTGACGACAGACTGGCACGTCTAACCCACCATGTCGCACACGGAGCTGCTGAGATTTTCTTACAGACCTGCTGTCTGCTCCTTCCGGTCACAGTCTGTGGCAACTCAGTTACAGGGGCCCAAAATCTTAAAGCCTTAACTCCTGCCTCCGTCTCTTCTGCCCCACAACCAGTCCACAAATACGTCTTTGTGGTTCTACCTTCAAAACTCCTCCAGCACACGGTCACTTCTCACCTGCACCTTCTGTGCCCTCAAGGCCTGTCACTCCTCCCCTCCCTTGGCCACAGTGGCTGTCAAGGCCCAGGGCCTTGCACCCTGCCTGGCACTCTTTGTCCCCCTAACCCTCTGTCTTTCCCTACAGCACGTGTCATTCGCTGACACACACTACGGAGTATTTATCCATTTACTGTCTCCCATATTAGAAGGTAAATGACAATGACGCGAAGCAATGACACGAAGTGAGGGTTGAGCCCAATAAATATTTACAGAAGACATGAGCAGCATAAGCTGTAAATGTCAAGGTTTAGATGCACCCCCGCCCCATCTGATCCTTGGAGGGGCACATGGGCTGCCCAAGCTCAGGCAGCCAACAGCAGCAGAACCGGACCCGGGACGCCCGAGTCCTGCTGCCTCGCCCCATGGCCGCGGCCCTCTGTCCCCAATTTCTTCCAATCGCACGACAGCCAGGGATTTGCAGGTTCTGTGTCATTTCACTTTCAGTTCAGGACTTCCCGTCTCTGAGGCTAAAAACACCACGATAATGTGGAAAAGCCAAACCCACCCACCTGGTGCCAGAGTCTTTGGGACACACCTGATTCCAAACGTCCCGGAAGGGAGCTAAGGGCCTCTGAACGTTGTATTTAGTTAGTTCTGTCTTTCGCCGCCTGCGGTCACCGCTGCAGCAACTGTCTTTCTGATAAAGGGCACAGGTCGATTTCGGTCTAATGGGGAAGCCAAAGGCCAAGTCCCTGTCCCCAGGGTGGCCGGACTGGGCCGGGCAGAGCCTGCGCCGTTTTCAGGGTCCCCTCCTTCCTGCCCCAACGTTCAGGAGCCTCCCTCGGTGAACACGGTCTCCTTCCGGCTCGAGGTGACAAACGCCCATCAGAGAACGGGGGACACGACAGACCGGACAGTTACATTCACCCCAAAGTCGGCCCAGAAAAGCCCAGGGTTCGCCGTGGGGGGCCGCGGCCCGCTCGGCCCCGCTCGGCCCCGCTCGCC